ATATTATACTGGTGTTAAACTGTGCCAAGTCTAAAGCCTGTGGATCAAGATTTTGTCAGACAGGGATCTAATTCTTCCCTCACTTTATGCTGTTATTACTCGAATTGCTTTCACTGTGGCTGTGCCTAATTTACAGTGGGCTAAGGAAGTAAAGAATCAGGCCTATGTTGACCAAAGGGAAAATTATAAAACCTTAATAAAATGAGTCAAAAGAATAAGGCACATAAAATCAGGTGGAGCAGGAAGTGTGAGATCTGGGAGCATCATGAAATTACCTTTGCATGTAGGACCGCAGCAGTGTGATTCCCAGGAGGAAGTACATCATGATAGAGCACACCATCATGGCCAGCCCAAGGAGTATGGCCCGGTCTTCTCCAGCTTTTAGGGCTGTGACTGTTTTCCTTTTGTCCAGTAGATCGTGATCCTTGATTTTTTGGTAAATATTTCTGAGGTTGAAAATAATACATTCTTATGTGAAGTTCATATTTAAACAAGTAAGCCTCTACAGGGTGGGCAGTTCCACCTCCATACCCATCTCATGGGAGAGAAAGGTCCTCAGGTGTCCTTTTTCAGTGGATTCACTCTGACCTGGTGGAAACTTATTCATCTCCAAAATAAATTACAGCCATTTCTGAAAAGGTAAAAACCTCTTACAGCAAATACAGAGATTAGACACTTGTGCCAGCTCAGTAAATCCTTCTTTGGTACAGCCTCTTTGGCTCAGTTGAATCATACCGTAGGTGTATTTGACCCATCAATGCCATCTTAGGCCACTAGAAGATGCTCCGGTGTATGATATGTGTTTTATTCAGTTGAATATGGTAACAGGTCTTATATTACCACAGGTAGAAAATAGTCTGAAGAAAGACATCACTAACATTATCTGAAAGGACCATGCTCTCTTTTGATTCCCTACAGGCTAGTGGTTTGGGCAATTTTCTGTCCTGAGTGTGACTCAGATCTCTCGAAACACTATGGGGATCTTACAATTGATTTCTGTGGTGGGTTTTTTTGGGTTTTTTTTTTGGCTGAGAGCTTATTTACTTTATTCATAAAATAGCTTTCTGGAAGCCCAGTTACTCATTATAGTGAAAATCCTCACAGAAATTTATCCACCAGAGCTATTTGTTCTGGGATTAAAAAAAAAAAAAGAAGATACAACAAACCATTCCCCCTTCAGCAGAGAGTCCTTTGCATTTTCTAACCATAAGTCCTTCTTTCATCTCTGAGCCTTTGATGATTCAATGGGTCATGAGGACACAATTGCGAAGAAGGAAATATTTGAGTACATTTCAAACACACTCAAACTTTGTGGGTTTAAAATGTACTTACAGACCTGAGGCTGGTCAAAATCTCCTGTGTTTTCTGTAATGGTTCTTTTGAATGATCCAGGCAGCACCCGAAGCATGTGAACCGCACACCTCTGAGCCCTGGCACCACCATAACATGGACACAGTAGTACACGTGGAAGAAGTTCCTCTTCTACTGTCTGCAAAATGGCACGTGAGCAACATCAACATCACTTTGGGCTCTAGTAAACCCACCACTTGTTTAAGCTGAAACCACCAAGTTTCACTCGACCGTGGAGAAAAGCACTGAGTCAGATCAACCAGATAATTTACACTGAATGTTAAGGACAAAGAAACAGAGTTAAGACAGAAGTCAAATCATACATAAACAGAGTAGAAACAACAGCAAAAAATATGTTTAATCATAGACTCCCTGAGACTGGAATTGAATTTGTATTTAGATGATGAGTCACGGTCAGGAAAAGCACATATGGTGTGGGGTTTTATAGCAAAACCCTTGCTTAGATGCTACTGCAGTCAATAGTCTCCTGTACCTAAGACCCCCTGAGGTTTCTTCATCCAACTGCAATTTACATCCTTAGATGTCCAAGGTTTCTCTTCAAAACCATCCTTTAAAGCTTGTCAATGTTTTCCTAGTCGGAAATGAAATGGTAATTCAGCCTGTCAAAATCTTCTCTGGTGTTAGGGACAAAAAATACATTGTGAGCTGGCAGATGCAATTGCCTTCAAAGAAGTAATGTAGAGTAATAATCTAATGTTACTTTTTCTATTATTATTTATCAAACTGTATTTAACTCTGAGAGCTGCTATTAGGATTTGCATTGCTCCCAAATGGAAGCAGACAGGAAGGCAGAGATTGTCATGCAGTTCCAGCACATTAACCGATCACACAGCATAACTTATGTCGGTGTGTAGACATAAAACAGACACAGTGCGATCGCTCATTAGTGTCATTGGAGCAGCTAGGACATAAAAGGGATACAAATGGACAGCTTAAAAACAAATAGCTAATTGAGAATGGTTACAAATACTTCCCATGTGGCCTTGAGCCAAGAAACGTGCCATCAGAGGTAAATAAAGGATGGACTGAAGGGTATGTGGTAGAAATGTGCTCTCTGGCAGGTGACTGGCAAAGGGGATGGTGTGTGGTGACCACCTGCCAGGTGGATCTTCCACGTTCACCTACCACAGAAAATAAAGCTAACAAAAGCTCTGCCTCACGTGTCAGGCTTGGAGACCTATTTCTATTGCTCTTTTGCAAATATTTGTTATTCAAAGCCCCAAAGAACAGCAAAGTGGTAACCTGGTGCACTTCACTGAGCTTTTTGCTGCTGAATCCCTGCAAGGAGTCAGCCTGGTGCACACCTGCTGAGGTGTGTGGTGGCAGGGCACGTGGCAGTGCGTGATGCACTGGTGCTAACACAGCCCAGGAGATACACTGAGTAACCCTCCCTCCTCCTCCTCACACTTGTGCCTGAACTGGGGAAGTGCCAGTTTTCTCTGTTTGATACTGGGAACATCTGCTATTACCAAACTTCACATTTTTGCCCCTTAGAGCCCTGCTTTAGGGAACATGATATGTTGCGCACAACATTTGGCCACGAACAGAGCAGCCTCAGCCTCTCCTTCTCTGGAGTGGCAGCAGTGGCCTGCACATGTGTGAGTGCTGCTGCGTGGGGGTGGATTTTGTGTACCTGTGAACTTTTGGCACAGCCCAGGGACCTGTTTCTGCTTGGTGAGCTGGAAGAGTGCCGTGCTTAGCTGGCTGATTTTGGATCCCAGAGCTGCACAGCCACAGTTAGCTGACTGCTGTGGTGTGTTTAAGTACAGATCACTGCATCCCAGACACTACTCGCTTGGTGACTCTATCTAATACTTGCAATAACCTGTGAAAACTCCCCACATATGACATCGGGGGGGGCTGTTTGTTTTTAAAGAAGTCCCAGCTGTCAGAGCATGGGGAATCTCTGCCCAGTGCAACATTTAATAAGAAGCAAACCTTCAAGGACAAAAGGTCTTTGCTCCCTTGATAATTTCCAAACTGAGGTTCTCCCCTGCTAAATTTCCATGTTCCTTTTGCCAGGTTGTTCAGAGGGTATGGGCTGGATGCTCTACCCAGGCTCAGCTGCCAGAGAGGAAAGCTCAGCCGTGACCATGCCTGCTGGGGACAGAGCAGAGATTTCCCTCTCTGTGTCTCTCTGCACAGCAGCAGTGTGGGGATTCCTCTGCAATGTTGTCAGCATATCCTTACATGATCTCCCACTCCAAAATAACTAGATCTAGGAGCTCTGAAAAGTGTGGTAAGTTTCCTCACTGAAAATCTAGAATATCAAGGCACCTGCAATTAATTTTTTTTTTCAAATAGAAACAAATTACCTACCCTCAAACCCCTTGCCTTGCAAATGGACCATGGTGAGATGCTGAGGAAAACTTTGTCTCCTCAGGCAGCATGCAGTCATGGGGCTTGTCAGATGGGGATGCCTGCCTGCCTGAATTATTCAGTGACTTTGAATTCACATTGACTTTTCTGATATTACAGTTGTTATGCAGATCTCACTCAAATTACCTCATGTTGAGGTATTTACTGGTATCAGAAATCCTTGAATTTAATGGTCAAACCCCCCTCCTATATCTTACCTGCAGAACTCCCAGTGTTTAGGGACTTTTCTGCTCAAAGCCAATTTCTTTACTTTTTTTCTTTACAAGATATATTTAGCTGCATCAGTTTTTGTTACTAGACCTATGGCAACAGGAAATCTCTCTGGAGCTCTCAGAAAAGTCTCAGTGATGGTTTGTAGAAGGATTCCTTATCTATATTAATGACTTTTTTCTTAATTCCCTCCCTCTTCCCCACCAAACTGGACCAAACTGAACCAAACTAAACCAGTGCTTTGGCTTTTCAAGCTTACAATGTTGTGGAAAGCCTCACTGACAGCTGAGAAAGAATGAGAGTGACTAGTTCTTCAAAGCACAAAAAGTGGCAGTTGGGGGACAGTGGATGGCTAAACCAGCAATGAAATGCAGATATTTGGGGGCTGATCCTGCAAAAAAGAGATGCCCGAGAGATACCTTCTACCCAGGAGAAGGTGATTTCTCCAAAGCAAGTGACACATTGCAACACTGTTAATATTACAGTGCAATCTCTGAAAAATCTGTGGTTGTAGCACACATTGGGGACAAGTTTGTGGATCCTCATGACAATCTTCCTGTCTGAGGTTTAAAGAACAAGTTTCCTAGGAAAAGGTCATTTAAGGTAGGACAATTTTCTCTAAAATACACTACCTGTTTGCTATCATGATGGTGCTGCTGACCTTACACATGTTAAAATCACTACCAGACGCTGGTGGATGAGTTTCTCCCACGAGCAACACTTGTTCTGTGTTCACACCTCTCCTCTGCAGTCCTGAGGCTGCTGTTAGCACTCTCTTATTTCCATTTTCCTTTCCTCCCTTTCCCTCTTGCATTTTATTAATCACTCACAAGGTATGAACAATTCCTTCTGTGCAGCTCTACAGGACCACTTGGGAAGTAAACCCACCTGAAGGCTTGACAAGGGACCTGAATTTACCATGGCTAGTGTGTAGGCATAGAGATACTGCTCCCTATTTCTGCAGGCATGCAGGGATGAGTTCTACCTGGGGTTTGTGCTGACCAGATGCCAGTGAGCCCTGTTCAGCTCAGCCCTCAGTCCAAGTTAATAAACCCTACTGCAAGGCATGGTGAGAGTTGAAGGCTATGCTAATTAGGAGCACATGGCTTCCAGCCAGCCCAAAGTGTGACCAGATATCTCCTCCACATGTCTAACCTTGGGCCATGACAGTGTTTTAATGCAGAAGAACATTAGCCTGGGGAAAATTCAATTAAAGGGGAGACTTGCAGAAGTACAGGAGGCAGTTAGATAACCAGCTCCAACTGAAAGTCCATGGAAACCTGCTGCCAAGCTGGCCTTTTTGTCTTCAACCTGTCTGCTTGGGATCAGATTATCCAAAGAGCTGAACACCTATGCAACCTTTGCAGAAAAGTTCAGCAATGGGTCAGTTCTCCAGAGAATCTCAGGGTCCTGAGGGCAGTCTGCTGCCTGAATTCAGGAGTGCATTTTCCCAAGCTGATGCCTGCAGTAATGTCTCATTAGAATAACTGAAGGGTGTGTTTTACTAATTGGCACTGTAGGTACATTGATATCTGCTTTTGTTTTCCTAGAGTCTGATTTTTTGTGATTACATTTAATAGTGACTGCAAGAGGAACTGAAGGAGAGGAGGAAGGGTCAAAGGAAAGAAAAGAACAGGAAATGTGTCCTTGTTGTGACAAGACAAGTTGGCCAGCAAATCTTACTACAAAGGAGAGAGATTTTGGAAGGATGACTCCTCGCATTACTGACAATTGTTCTTTCATCATTGATGTTTTACTTATTTCATTCCCAACTGAGCACTGCCTTTGTCTGGACTTCAAACCTCTCCTTCCCTTTCCTTCTCTTTTGCATATTTCCCTGTTCCCCTGGGAGATCCAGTAATACATTTATTCCTCTGTCTCCTTCAGCCTGTTCTCTCTAGCTTAAGTGGGCTGTTGAGCTACCAGATCCCTTTCAAGCAGCTTAACATTCCCTAGCTGTTGTGCAATTTAACCAGAACACATCTCTGACAGCTGAATGCATCATCCAGATGTGTAAATGTTATGTGGGGCAGTGATCTGGCTGGGGGTCAGGAGGCACTGTGTGTGTGTGTTATCTGGAAGAGGTATAAGAGCTGTGTGGCCAATGGCTTGAAGCAGAACACCTGCAAAAAGCATAAAGGCTTCAGAGAGGTTGGATCTGAGACTGCAAACCTGTGGCTGGGTATCAGTGTGCTTTTAAATGTGTGTGTATGCTGACCTCAGAGATGGTCATGGTGTGCTGCTGATGTCCCAAGAATAAGGAAGACTTTGGCCATAGCTACAACATTGTCCCTGTTTTGGCTTGGCATGTTAACCCTGGCAGTCATCAGCTGGTCCTGTGGTGGGTGGAGCAGTAGCCAGGGTTGTGAGGCACAGGGTGGACACCCTTTGCATCCTTCCTACTTCTCCAGTGGCACCACGGGAGAGAACAGGCCACAGTCATAAAGGTTCAAACCCATAACAGACAACCAGCACAGGTGCTGTTTACCTTTTTTCATCATGTCTGTAAGATGTAGAGCTCCGGCCACTGGTCCAAATAAACATTTTAGAGGGTTGCCCAGTGTTGGCTCTGCTCGCTGCAGTGGGACGATGGAAGGACCTGGGGGAAGAGGGATAATTTTTGTCACTGCCCATCCAATGTGGCAGAACACATAATATCCAGCGTGTCAAATCCCCTGTGGCCATGCCCAACGTGTTCTGAAGATGGACCATTTGTTAACTCAAGGTGAGATGTAAAATAATGGGGATGAGAGATCAATGTGTGAGAATGGAGAATAAATCCCATTAGCCCCACTGGTAAAAGGTAAGGCAGGTTAATCAGGCTTAGCTATGCTCCATGCTGCAAAGGATTCGCACCATGGGCAAGGAATCATCAGTAGTTTAAGAAAAGGTAATAGCTGCATCCAATGTTCTTATGGCAGTATTTTTAGGGGCAAAATGGCTATTGTTTAAGCACATACACATTCATTACAGATATTTGGTTATTCTGCAGCTCTCAGTAAGGTGAGGCTCTCAGGGAAGATGCCTGAATGAGGCACAAGTATGAGATGTAAAGGCAGCATTTTCTGGAAATGTAACTGATGTGAGAAAGTTGTCTTGTCCCATGGAGAAATTACTATCCCAAGGCCATTTGGCCAGACCAGTCAGATCCCTGTCCCGGGGCTTCTTTGTTACACTGCAGGGTATGAGCCCTGCTGCCTTCTGTCAGTGTCTCAGGCTGTATTGAACCTGCTAGTGGGGATACAGCTCCCCTTGCAGCACAGGGTCTCAGGCTGTATTGAACCTGCTAGTGGGGATACAGCTCCCCTTGCAGCCCCCCCCATATCTCCTCCTGGTTTTAGTGAGGCTCAGTTAAAAATCTTGATCTCTGAGAACTGGGCCCTTCCTGTGAGGGCTGTATTTTGCATTATTTCATGGCATAGCACTTTGTGTTTTTTATGTATTTAGATAAAAGCTTAAGAAAAAAAAAAGGAAATACACCAGATACCAAATACTTCAATGGTGACGTTTTTCATACACTGGGGGATGTTCTTTAGCTCACTGAAAAACAAACCTGGCAGTTGATGCTGTCAGCAGAGAAGACACATGATCTGAAGAAGTCTGTAATGTCACTATCTACATAATCATGCAAAGGGATGATTTCAATATTTGCATAGTGGTGAACCTGTGAGAATACTTAAATCCTGTAGAGATGGCTGGAGGGGAAGACTCACATGGATGGGAGCCAAAATCCATCTGTATGCAGACAGGCTGATGGGTGCCAAGGGACTGGGCTCTCCATCTAGAGTTGAACCAGAGACCAACCACAGAGTCTATGAGGCAGCCCCAGGACAAACACATGCCCCAGTTGGGCAGCTGGCTGGACAAACTTGCCAAACTGGTGCCCCTGTCACCTCCTCCCTGATGGGGTCCTGCTGCCATTCTTGAGATACTGGGCCAGAACTGGGACTTGCAGGCATCGACCTTGTTTAACATAAGAGGTGGAAATATTTGACAAAGCTTTTGTGCTGCATTTGTGAACAGCATATTGGACACGAAGACAGTCCAAAAGGAGGGAGGTGGAAACAGGGGAATCTCCCCAAGCTCT